ACCCACAGGAAGCATGTAAACTATGGAAAATAATGAAGGCAGTAAACCAGGATTACCAACATTTAAGAAGTGGGAAGAGGAAGAGAAGTCAGTGAAAGAAACAGAGAAGGAAGAGCATAAAAGGTGAAATAAGAATTTAGAGAGAAAATGTCTCTATAGCTGAGGGACAGAAGGTTTTAAGGAGAAAGGCCAGCAGAATCTAATCATACAGAGTTTGAGTAGAATGCTGACGAAAGAGAAGACATCAGATTGTTTTTGTTGACCTTAATGGTTAAGACGTTTTAGACTAGTCAAGGAAGGGAGTGAAGGACTACAGTGTGTTGAAAAGAGAATGGAACTTGAGCAAACAGAGCATGTGACTGTAGAAAACTCTGGCAATAATAAAAAGGAAATAGATGAGATGGAGAAAAAGTGAGGTTGTAGGGTTGAGATTTGCTTTATTCTATTTTTTTTTAAACAGGAGTAACTTGAGCATGGTTATAGGCTAAAAGATATAATCTATTTGAGAGTGGGAGGTTGAGAAAGTAAAAGAAAAGGGACAACTCAGAAAATGAGAAACAAGATTGGATGGAACTAGAGAGGAAAAGCCTTAGGTTGAAGAAGGAGCATCTCTTCCCCTGAGGCCAAATGGGACATGCCTTGTGAGTTGTTTATGTACTGTATGGCCCTGACCATGATTTTGATACTCATAGATGCCACTATCATGTGCAGACATGGGAATTCATTAGACAGATGGACCAGAGTCACAGACCCAGGTCCAGAGTTCCGAGAGCCGGAAGAGAAAACGGGAAATAATGACCTTTACAAACAAGAAATAGAAAATGTTAATTCTTATTTGGGGACCTAAAAGGGGCATTGTGGGACATAGTAGGAAGAAAGTATGGGTATGGGGGGAGGCCATACATTGTGTTGTTATCAAGCACTTGGGACTTGGAGTCAGATAAAAGTGAATTCTTATTTCAGCTCGAGTACTTATTAAGTGTGTGAGCTTATGTAAGACGCTTAACCACTCACTGCTTGAGCTCCTGCACATGTAAGTTGAAGGCAATGGTAATAACTTCACGACATTGTTGTAAGAAATAAATGAGAAATTGTTATAAAGCTTTTAGAGGGCAAGACATACAAGAATTTATTAAAGTTTATATTTGTTTATTTTGATCATACAGACTAACTACGAAAGTGAGAAAAATTGTGAATATGCTAGCACAAGGCTTTATGATCTCTGTGAGTTAGGAGTAAGCCATTTTACTACACTGAGTAGTCAAAAGTTATTTCTCCAGAATTAGGGAATATGAGGAAGATTGGAGAAGAACAACAGGTGGATGAGAGAGTGGAATGGATCATTGAATGGGGGGAGAGAGAGAGAGCGGCTGAAGTGACTGTGGAATCAGGAACATAGGCCTGGACATAAAAGGAAGCGTAACCAAGAAGGGCTTGAGAGACTGGGAGAATGTGCCAAGATCTGCCGATTTCAATAACATCAAAAACAAACAATAGGGTGGGAGTAAGAAAAACTCAGAAAGTGGGTTTTGTTAGATGAAAAGCAGAATGGAGATTGCTAAAGTGAAGAGGAGGTGAATCAGTGAGCTCCTGAAGAATGCAAGAGACGGGGCAACGGCAAGGTCACATGAATGAGCACTAGGAGGTGACTGCAAGTGACGGACACAGTTCCAATTGAGATAAACCCAAGCCAAGTGCCAAAGCCATGGGATTTAGTGTATGATGCTGATGAGAACAGTTAAAGGTTGGCAGAGGTAGATGGTAAGAACACTGGGAAAGCTTAGATTGCTTTTCACCCATAGATCTCCTCTAGCTCTATATATAGAGAGAGAATCTATAGAAAATTATATAGAGTCTGAGGCTTGTATGGGATTCTTAAAGGAAGAGTCAGTATCTTCTTTATCTCTGGAGTCCCAGTGCCCAGCACAGTGGCCAACACATTGACACATAATAGGTATGCAATAAATATTTATTGAATGATTCTGTGAAATCCTAGGTTCAATCCACATATGAATCCATTAAACTGTTTATCACTTTTCCAAATCACAAAGCAAAGACTGCTTAACTGTTAAACCAAATACAAATCTTAATTGTTATAAAATTGGGAATTCTAAGATGCCCAACCTCCTTTCCAAAGCACAAAAGCTAGTTGTATTTTAGTATTTTCCCTTCATTCATGAATTCAGCAAATATTCATTGAGCAACAACTATGTGGCAGACACTGTTCCATACATTTCCATATATTGGGAAAAATAGTGGAGGAAAAGGCAAAAAAGGCCCCAGCTCAAGGAACTTAATTCTAGTGGGAAAAAACATATAGTCAGCATATAAAAATATATATGTTAATTTCAGTTAGAAGGAAGGCTGCCATGAAATTAAAACAAGTAGTGAGATAGAGAGAAATCAGGAGTGCTGGAACACAGCTCTTTTATATGACAGTTGGAGAAGACCTCTGACAAGGTGACATTTAGCTTGGACCTGATGGATAAGAAGGAGTCAGCCATGTGAAGATTGGGAGGTATTCCAGGTAAACAGGTGGTGTAAAGGCCCACTGGGAAGATCAAGTTTAACAGAGGACAGAAAAGAAATCAAAGTTTAACAGAGGACAGAAAAGAAATCAAAGTTTAACAGAGGACAGAAAAGAAATCAATATGTCTGTACTAGAGTCTAGTAAGAAAGGCATATCTGTTTCCCAAGTGTTATGTTTTAACATGAGTATGATCATAATATACATTCAATTTTAAAGGACTACATAGTGGTTAGGAAGAGACTCTGGAGTCTCTCTGGAGACTCACATTTAATGTGAGTCCTAAGCTCACATTTAAATCTTGGCTCCTCTTTTTCTATCTGCATTACCTTGGGAAAGTTTACCTACACATTCTGGCATGTTTTGTTACCTGTAACATGATGGTAATAATCGTACCTACTGCATACCATTCTCATAAGAATTAAACAAATTGATAGTTGTAAAACACTTAGAGAAGTGCTTGGCACATAAAAAGTGCTTCTTATATAAAATAATTCCCTCTTTTTTCCCCTGACTGCGTTATATGGGAAAGATAATTTCTTTCGTTACATAAGCTTAATGATTATTTTGTTGGTTCTGAGTATCCCATAATTTAATTAACTATAGAAGAAGCAGGTTGTTTTTAATTTTTTCTACATCATAAATCACTCGACAATGAACATTATTATCATGCTTTGAGATTTTCCACAATAGTGATCACCTAGGTGGCAGAGCATGGGTGAACCAGTACAAATACTTCACTGACTGAACCATCTGTAAGAGGCACGCTCATCTAACAAAGGAAAGATAGGCTATCAGTTGCTCTCCTGCCAGCTGAATGTTTCCTAAAGGAAAGTTATGCTTGGCTTGTACAAAATTTTTTGAGTTGCCAAAAATCAAAAATCTCACAATTTACTATAAAAACCCTCAGATTTCTGGCTTCTTCTGAAAAATAGTCTATTTGTATTAAACTGATAGAAGTGGTCATAGTGGCTATGAGGCAACAATTTTGGACAGATTTCTTATGACAGTTTTACCATTCTTTCATAATTATATGTTTTAACCTAAAGTTCATAAAGTTAAAAACATTGTCTAAAAATATTATAAGGATTGTATACTAAATTTTAAAGTATTGTATGGAAAATTGTTTGAGAAAAGTACTGAATCTATCTACAGAGAAACCTAGAGTAGCTCAGAATATATGAAAATAGTTGGAGTCTGAAATGTGGCATCACTTTCTTTAAAAATAGTAAAGAAATTTCCCAAACAGATAAGAATTTTTTTAATAGTTGGAGTTATGCAAATTTAAAGTTATATGAGTATCATTCACTTGAACCAAATGAAACTATGAAGAGGCAAATGTAGATGATGATATTCCCATTAATTGATCATTATGAATTACTGAAGTAAAAATAGCTTTTAAGTGACATGTGCATTGTATTGTGTAAAAGGAAGCACATACTATAATCTATTTGGTCTAAAGTAAATTTATTAAATACATATACTTATGTGTATAGCTTTAAAAGTCTGAAAAGTCAACTTCTAAAGGGCACACAGTTGGCACTTAATAAATATTTATTAAATTTGTTTTTTCTTTTACTCAGCTTTGTTGAGATATAATTGACAAGTAATACTTTGTAAGTTTAAGGTATATAATGTGATATTTTGATATACATATATATTGTGAAATGATTACCACATTAAGGTTAATTCATACATCCCACCTCACAGTTATCTTTTTTTTTTTTCTTGGTGAGGAAGATTGGCCCTGAGCTAACACCTGTTGCCATTCTTCCTATTTTTGCTTGAGGAAGACTGGCCCTGAGGTAACATCTGTGCCCATCTTCCTCTGTTTTGTATGTGGGATGCTACCAGCCTCGATGAGTGGTGTAGGTCCATGCCTGGGATCCCAACCTGCGAACCCTGGGCCGCCAAAGCAGAACGGGCCAAACTTAACCACTGTGCCACTGGGCCAGCCTCACATAGTTACCTTTTTGAGTGTATGTGTGTGGTGTAAATATTTAGGATCTACTCTCATAGCAACTTTCAAGTATACAGTACAATGTTAACATATGTATATGTATGCTGTATACTATGTGTATACTATATACTGTATAGTCATCATGCTGTACATTTGATCCCCAGAGCTTATTCATCTTATAACTGAAACAAAGTTCATCCACATTGCTGAATATGGCAAGATTTCTTCCATTTTTATGGCTGAATAATTGTTCCATTATATGTATACCACATTTTCTTTATCTGTTCATCCATCGATGGACACTTAGGTTGTTTCCATGTCTTGGCTAATGTGAATAATGCTGCAGAGAACATGAGGGTGCAGATATCTCTTTGGAACTGAAAAAAAAAAAAAGAGAGAGAAAGGCTTTATACCATAAATATGTATAGCTGCTAACTCAATAAACTTTTATTTTTTCTAACATGCATCAACAATGTTGTATGCTTTTTATTCTTATTTCATTTTTGTTTACAGAAAACTGGGCACAAACCAGAAAGTGTGGATTTGTGTGGAGCACATATTGAATGGGCCAAGGAAAAATCAAGCAGAAAGAATGTCTTTCAGGTAAGACTGTTACATATATTCAATTTATTCCTTTTCCTTCTAAATCTGAGCTCTCTTGAGTAATCAAAATAAGACTACCTTGTTGTGATGTTTTCATATGCATGAACTAGTTGTGCGAAGGTCATTGTGAAAAACTGACTTCTCTTCCTTGTTGAATTTTGGTTTGTTTTGTTGTTTTTCCCTGGTGACTGGCTGCTATCTAAACACAAAATATATCCTGTGTGTTTAATTCTACATGCAAAAGTCACTGAATTTTGCAATGTATTTGATAGCTGTTTGTGGTTCAAACCTAGAATATTTGACTTAAATAGATTTAATGTAGAACTTTCAGACATACACAAAGTAAGATTCACTAATTATGATAAACTATTTGCATTCATTGTCATTCCTGCCTCCCAGTCATAAATTACATTTTTCCAGTGTGACTTAGGAGGATGGAGAGAGCTAAACAGCTATATTGGATCTTTTCATACTGCATAATTTAACTTTTTGGAAAACATAACTGTGATTAATAATTTCAGTGCTATAATCATGTTCCATTGAATGGAAAGAACCAGAGGAAATCCTTTAAAGAAAGAAAATGGGAAAACTTAACATTTCACATATGATGTTACGAAAATCCCTTTGGCAGTTAATAACTTTAGATTATGGTGGTTGATCTCTTTCTATGTTTATATGAGATTTAATTTACTTTTATATTTTCAAAGTAACTAATAACTTTATAGATATATTTTAGAATTTGTATCATTTAGTAGCCAAGGAACTAGATTATTATAATTATTATATTAAATGTCTTCTAAGACCATTTTGGCCCTTGAAGAAAAGTCAATTCTGTTCTTAAATGCATCAGTAAAATTAAGATATTGGGTCTCATAGAAGTATAGATACATGACATTTACTATCTGAACTCTCACTGGAGAGAAAAAAACTGATTTCCAGTTTGGTCTGCATTTTCCAAATGCTAATTCAGGTCTATCCAAATAATTTGGACTCACATTAATTTTATAAATTATAAAAAAAATTTTAAACATATTCTAGAATAGATTATTTTTCTGGTTCTAATTTTATTCTATTTAGATATTCATTTTTGATACGATAGAGATTTTGTTTTTTTACCAAAAAAGAAAATGAAGAGAAGGAAGGAAAGAAGGAATGAGAACAAAAAAGAAAGAAAAGAAGACTAAATATACTTGCCTAGAAATCAAAGGACTAAAGCCAAAGTGATTAGAATGTGAATTTACAGAATCTAGGAAAAATAAATTTTGTTTTAAAGTGAGGAATTGTAGATCAGTGATATATCCGGTCCTCCTATTTCTTACTCTTTTTGTTATTCTGTCATAAATAACAAAATTTAGAGGTTATAATCCTAGCCTCTATGACAACCTAGATGATCAGTATGACTAGTTCTGAACGGGGTTAGGTGAGCTAAGTGGTTCAGTTTTATTATGTATTGTGAGTTTAGCATCCTAATCACCAATGTTATAAAATAAAGACATTAAAATTTGACATCGACATAATAGAAACCCTTGGAGTTGGGCTAAGGCAGCCTTTTTCAGTTCCTTCTGTTAACCTTATGAAGAACTAAGTTAGATCACAAGTGAGGATGATAGTCAAGTGTGTATGATGTATACAGGGCTGCAAATATCAAAGAAAAATATTTATGTATAATTTTACATAACTATAAACATAATATACATAGATATACATTTAAACCACCTATATTGTTGATATATGTTGTCCTAAACTTTTCCAAATGTGTCTAACCACCTCCTGTTATAATTTTTTACTTGTTTTTCATATTTCTGAATATAGGTACTTCCAAAGATATTAAAAACTATTCTCATTTATGGTAGCGTCTTGGAGGTGAAAATCTTGCCAGCTAGTTTTGTTTGTAGGTACCTGAGCAGTTCATGGGGCCTCAGTGTTCTTGCATCCAGTTTATCTTTTTTTTTGTCTTGTATCCTTTAGTTTAGAGAAACAAGAGGTGATTATAAGGATGTTGTGAATGACGAAGCTAAAGAAAGATTCAAATTGCATTTCCTGCTTCCTTCTTTTGGGGTGAATCATGTGGTTTTCATACTGAAATCTTTTCATCACTGAAACACATGAGCCTAGATAAAATTTACTAATATGTATCCACAGATACAGACTACCAGAGTAAGCCTTTAGAGAGGAACAATATAAATAGCTTTTATAGTTCTGTTAACAAAAAAGCATCAGGAAGGATTTGCCAGAGAGCTAAATCTAGATGACTTGCATCAATATTTGATTAGATACATTAGCTGGTCTAACTCTCAAATGATCAAAATAAACATGATTATATCTCAAAAACATGGTATTAAGGCATTGTTGGATGTTTGAGTGTGTGTGTACAAGAGTTTCATTACCTACAGAATAATGAAGTGTTTCTTGCCGACTGAAAAAGACCATCATAGCTTCAGCTGATGTGCTACATCAGAAATAGCTTTAGAATTCCAAGTTTGAGTTAGGTTTGGTGTTCAATCTCAGTCTATGAATTATAGATTACAAATAGTAAATGACTATTGAGATTTTTGGTTCAAGAAAAATCAAAGAAAAGCAAAATTAGAAATAATTTAAAATTTGAAATCTGTCTTTAAAAAGTTGATGGATTAGCAATTATATGCCACATAATTACAATGTCTGTGGGGAAGTCGAACTTAAAATGAATAGGAAAACAAACAAAAAATTGAAATATGCTTGAAAGACTCAGAAAGACACATTTGCGACACAATAAACGGAAGGATTTCATTTGTTTCGTTCATTTGGATATGCCATTTGGACATTTGAGTTGTTCATTTTCTTTTTGTATTAAAAACCAAATTTCTTTCATACTCCAAGTCTTATTAAACTCTTGATGTAGATTCAATCTTATTTGATTGGTACATGGTAAGATAACAGTGACAACATAAATTAAGTATTAAGGTTTGGTATTCAACAACTCTCAGCAAATCAGAATAATGCTCACTGAGAATGATGGCCAAGTTCAAGAATATCTGCCTATTTTATAACAGAACAGTCTTTGGCCTAATTAGTACTTGTTAATAATAGACAATATATATTTTTAAAAATCATTAGCTACTTCTATAATAAAGTATATATAGACAAGTCATAATATGTGTATATACATGTATGCATATACATTGTGTGTGTGTCTATGTATATAACCCACATCTAATAGTTTGACCTTAGGAAATAAAGTGACTATCTCCACACACATACATACAAACACAGAAAGACACTATGTACTTATAAAAGGTCGTACAAATTCTAAGTTAAACTAGTAAATGTTCATTACTGCTAACTTTTGTTTAATTCTGCATTTAGCCTAATTGTCAAGGACCATCACAAGTTTGATGCAGCTTGCGAAAGTATTTAGCAACCGAGTGATTTGTAATGAACTGGGGTACAAGTTTTCTTAGTTAACTTAAAAGCAACACTAGGTTTTCATCAGGGAAAGAGTGAATAAAAAGATTTATGTTTGAATCACATATTTTAAACATTCCTGCTAAGTGCTAGTTTGCGTTTTGGTGTTTAGCCTGAAATTTAAAGCACTAAGGATTAAAAGGATTACAACATAATCTTAAATAATCCTAAATGTCATTTACAGAGAGATAGCTGTAATAACTAAATAAAACCATGTTCAAGGATGGCAGTATTGTCAGGCAGCATCTGTAACACAAGCAGTGCCTCTGTCACCTTCTTCTCTTTCATCGCGGAGACATCAGGCATTTATAAAGCTTTTCAATGGGAAGTTCAACAGAGAAAATTGCTGCAAAATAATTTAAAACAATCAATGATTTTTAAACTTTAATTTCTTCTTGTTTCAAAGTTGAAGGAAAATTTTCACTTAGGTTTCCTTCCTTCCTTTGAACATAAGTCTCTCTGAGTTAAATATTTTTGAAAATGGGGGGAAAGGGAGTTCATGACATGGCTATTAAATAGGTAGACGATACATCTCCAGAACATTCCCAACCTCCAAGGAGCTGCCCCCTTATTAAATATATGGTGGTCTCAAGCACTGTAATTAATTCCATGCCGTTTAATTTAGCACTTAAGTATTCTTTACTCCCGTCATATAAATTAGTTTTGTCTCCCCAAAGAAAGAATATCCCATACCGCTTTATGCTTATTAAACCAGAGGACTGGACACCTTTTAACTGATTCAATGGTTATTCTTAAGGCTAGAGTTGCAATCTTTTAGTAAAAAAACAAAAAAAAATTCAGTCATAAAAAAATTTTAGGAAATTGTGTCCACAATATAGGCTCTGTATTCCAAGATGATTTCCGGAGTGTCAACTCTATTCCTTTTTGCAAATAGGAGGTAAAGAATAAGAAAAATACTGTCTCCTCAGTCCTTTTCATTACAGCATATAATACAGTAGATGATTACTCGTATAAAATAAATCATTTCTGCTCTAAAGGTTTACCTTTTCTCAGAGCCAGACAGTGAATAGGCCTCTGTTTTTCTGAGTTTCCTTTAAAATAAAATTGTTTTAAAAATTTCACCCATTAATATGCAACAGGCTCATCTATAGATTATGTACTTTAAAGATTTTATTTATTCAGTTTTTTCCCCCCAAAGCCCCAGTAGATAGTTGTATGTCATAGGTTCACATCCTTCTAGTTGCTGTACGTGGGACTCGGCCTCGCGTTGGACAGAGAAGTGGTGCCTTGCGGCGCACCCGGGATCCGAACCCCGGGTCGCCAGCATCAGAGCGCGCGCACTTAACCGCCAAGCCACAGAGCCGGCCCATAGATTATGTACTTTAAATAAGATAATTCTACTATTAATGAATTATGGCTGAATAGAACTATATCAATTGCCTGTTAGAAAGCAGAAAAAATTAAATGACTCAAGAAAGTGAAAGTCTATTTTCCTCCCCCACCACCAGTTTATAACCTTAACAAAAATCATGGCCAAATTTCCTGGAATTGAGATTCTTTTTTAACATATAAAAGTATCTTAGGGCAACAGGTTC